GGGCCAACAGCAAGCTTAAACAGTCTAGCTGTGGGTTCCAGGGCCTCTTTCACGTATTTCTGAGCGATTACAGAAACTCTTTGAAAGATATATGGCTCAGTGCGCCCATTTGTCATGATTCCTCTCCAATCCGTTACACGGCAGTCACGGAAATGGGGCATTTCGCGGATAAGGGAAGGGAAGTTGCGTGTTCCTTCCTCTCTCCAGATCGAAAGACGTCTAGGATCACTGTTCATATCTGGACTGGTCAGTAACAATACACAGGCCCAGTGATCTTGGCTGCATTGAACAGGGTTAACTCCAGTTTAAATGGCCCCTCTGGAAGCTGGATTGAGTGGGACACAAACCATTGGCTTTCCCTCATACAGTGCGACCTCGTTAAGCCTTCGTGCAGCAGTAGAATGGCTAATTCGAGTTCCTGTGGCAGCCTGAAAGTCTAAAACCAAATAACTTGTAGACGCTTCGGGGTTTCTTCAAGCCGTCAGCGAAAGAAAGCAGTCATCTGATGTACCTTTTGCTCTTGGTCGAACTTGATCAGGGTGTCTATCAACTGAACCTATACTTTAAAAGCCGCTCCAAACTGTCGATATGACGCTTCGAGGGATATTCAAACCTTGGGTAGCCTGCATTTGTGTTTGCCTCCCTCGATTCTACCAATTATTCTTCACTTTTGACCTTCACTTAATTGATGCCTTTGAGCCATAACTAGTAAATACTGATCACGTTCAGGAACCACATTCACTTTAAATAACACTACAGACAGGAATTCCAAAATGCGTCCATTGCGCACCATATTGTGAAGCACCGAATTTGCATATTTTCGGCGCTAACGTATGCGCGGAAGTGCAGTTTTGTGTTCAATTGTATTTAATTTACATAAATAATTACAGTATTGGGCACTGATTGAACATAAACTTAGTGAGCATATTTTTTCTCATTATTCTTTAATTTTGATGATCAGTGTGTATATATTTATTGCTTTTTCGTTTACGAAATGTTAAAAAGTACTATTGCTTTTAAAATTATAGCTTTCAGTTTGCTATTATTTCTTCTCTGGGACTTTAATGATATAAATTTAGTACATTTATTGGAATTCATCATTGCTTAATTAAATTTTTCGGAAGAAGAAAATGATCAGGGATAAAACATTTTTAACATAAAAATTTAACTTTCTGTAACAAAAAAGAACGACATTGCGCGACATATAATATAATGAAAAAGATAAAGGTTTATCTAAATTTAGAGCCGCTTTTATTAGCATTAATGCTCTGGAGTTATTTATTCAATGTCCTGTTTTGTTGTAGCTTTATTGATTCTATGTATCACCACCAAAGTTAGCTGGTAAAGATCACGTTTGACAATTAATTACTCTGCTATGTGCTTCGGAAAACTAAAAGTTACACCGGTTGCTTTAACGAGCGAATTTTTTCATCTCACATTTGTTTCTGTTTCGTATCATAAGCTTGAATTTTATGAACACGGCTTCATAAATACATTAGGAAAATGTATATAAAGTTCTAGAGTTTTAACTTGGATAGCTATTGAGAATTTATTCGAAATCACATAATCTTTAAAATAAATATCTAATTTACAACTAAATGATAATAAACTTGAAAATACACCTATATGAAATATATAAATATAACTTTATACAGTATAAAAATGTAGCTATATATAAATTAATCATACGTTTAAAACTGCACAGTTTTCATGTAAGATTCAATGTCAGCAAGAGTGCTTCAAAATCTTTATTAAGCTCTCTGTCAACAACGAACAATTAATACGCATACACATTAAACGAATTTCCGTGTGTATATTAAAATAAATAATTTTAGTATTTTTAGCCCAGGGCTATTAATTTCGTTTTGCCATTTAGCGTCGGAAACTTTAATGTTCGTTTCACATTTCAAATTGTTGCCACCAAATATTATCGCCCTGTGTTATATTTATTTCGGCTTTTGGAAGTCCAAATTTGGAATATGGAATTTGTTTTATTATTTGTTTCATATTTTGCAAAGCATTTATGAGTTTTTGGTTAAAAAACTCAGCGATTTCAAAGAGAGCAAAAGCAACACTATACCGAAAAAAAAAAAAAAAACATTTTTATCTCCAGCGCGCGAGACTATGTATCGAAAATTCTGAAGAAATGCTCTTTTAAATGTTTTGTGACATTGATGTTGAAGATTCAAGTGCTAGGCACACATGGAAGCAGGAACCTGGTCTGAAAGCCGCATCCTGTATAGAACAGGTAGGGAAATAGCATGACTTTCCTGATATAACGTAAGGTGATATTGAGAATTTGAAGAACAATTCTCGTTGACGCATAGATAAGTCTTTGCATAAACAAACGAAGCTATTCTGATAAGGCTGCCAAGGTGTTAAAAATATCGCTGTTGAACTGAATTTTATCATTTAAGTGCAAAGAATATGATATTTAATAAATAAAGGTAACACACAAAGCGTTAAAAATACGCCTCTTTGGGCGCAATCTAAAATCTGAAAGATTTCAGTTCTTTTCTTTTCGTTTTTGTTTTACGCTTTTATATTATGACTAATGAATTCAAATAATTCCTTAAGTTTTAATTAATGTTTTAATTATTTCTAATCTAAAGAAAGCCTTTTATTTCTTTCAGTCAATATGTCATTTTATAGAAAGTTATAATGAAGGAATTTATGTTAAATTTAATATGAGTGAAGAACAGTAGTAACAAAAGAAAAATTTATTGTCCCGATAATTATTCAAATTAAACTCAAATCCAAAAATAAAGCTTTGATGTTTTTATTTTTGAAATTTCTAACATTTCAGTATTCGAGTATAAAATCTTGTTAGTTTGTGAGTAAAGTAATCTTAATTATAGATATTTTCCTTAACTCTCTAGAAAACAACTAATTAAAACACTTCTTTATTGGCTTTATCAATTTTCTTCTTCTTTTTACTTTATTTTATTTTTTTTAATTACTTTTGAGGAATTATGATGCAACAGAACTTTAATTGAGCTACTACTAAAGTTCAAGTAACTTACCAGTTAGTTTGTCAAAACAATATTCAACTTTATGTTGCGCTTTAAATCAAATCTATAATTACTTAGGTACTAAAATTCGTGAGAACTTTTAGTTTATTTTCTTGACATTGAAAATCTTGATTTTCATCTTTCATTCTCATCTATTCAATTTGGCGTCTTTTGTGTCCTCGAGAATTCAACAAATTTTCCAAATCACCACCTTGTCACCTGATATCGTTTGTTTAAAAGCAGATTAAACGCAATAATAGTAGTAGATTTCCTACTGCAATAAACAATAAACTCTCTAAAATTAAAAATTTAACGACACACGGGGAAAAAAATGGTCATTACCAGTTGGCCCATGGTACATCGCTGGTGTCCCCCATAGTTTTACCTGTATCTGTATCTGATGGCAAACGTACTAAATTTATCCTCTTAATCCTGTCTCATTTGTTCGTCTCTTTCATAGTTGTCGGATTTGATTACTCACTCCGTAGCATAAAGACGGGCTGTTGTAATGTCCCGCGACACCGGCGATTTTGTAACGATGCTTCCTCATAAAGGCCCACCAGCGGCCGAGCGGTAAAGTCGCTGAACACTGGTAGTTTGGTCCGAGGTTCGAATCCCGCGAACGGGCTGGCTGCATGGGCGTTTTCGTGTTTTCCCCATGTGTAAAGTGTATACGAGCCAGTTTCCCTTAGAAAGTCCTCCACGAAGGCATCCCTTCCCTTAGGCAGATAGCCCTCGAGGCTTTGCCATAATCACACACACACGCTTCCTCATAAAGATCCTGGCACCTTCATGGAAGTCAACGACTGTTCGCCTATACAAAAACCTTCACATATACATTCGACTATCTTGCATCTTGATGAAAGTTGTACCTTGTATAATATAAACTATACTTCATAAGAGTGCTTTGCACTGTTGTGATTTTATACTGGGGAACCGCTGTATTCTGGATAAAACTGGCCGATTTGCTAAAAGATACCAGCAATTTTTATTCAACTTGGCCACGTCAGTCAGACTAGTTTTATTCGTCCAGTACCAATCTATGCCAGTCTTGCATATATGCGTTTCATTTTATTCTGTAATTTTTTTAATTATAAAATTATTTTGTTTATGCGAGCCTTTTAAATCTTTATACATATCAGAAATTAATTTTGATAATTAATTAATTAAGTCAAAGGATAATAACCATAGTTTTAAGAACTTTTTAAAATCTAACCCAGTTGGTAGGATCTAGCCTTTTAAAGGGCTTTACTTTGGAGGCACCTCATAGGTGAGCGACCGTTGCTTCCTATTAAACTGACGAATAAATTGCACCTATGTCTTCTTCGGTATGGCAATGAGACTCACTAACTATTTTCCCGTCTGGGCGGCAAATTTTTAGAACTTTAGTCATTGAAATTAAATTGCAGCTTCCTTTACTAATCTGCCGCATTTTTCTTCATAGATTGTCAAATTCTAAAGTAACTGTAAGTAGCATTTACGTGCAAGTTCTTTGCAGTCGTCACGCAGCAGCAAAGTGATTATTCTAACTGATGAATTGCTTAATGTAATCACGAATACAAAGCTGGTGATTACTAAACTTTCGATTTACATATAGACAAAGGTTTCTGATAAGTTAGCCTGGACTTAGGAAAACTCACCTCAGCAATAGCTATTTTTTAAGGATATGATATGTATTATCATTTCTTTTTCAGTTTATATCATCATGTGCTTGAATCGCTTATTAATATGATTTTGACGTCATATTGGGACCTTAAAATAGATACATTTCCTATGAAAATTATTTTCATTATTTCATTTTACACGCACACAATTATTTTTTCGATCGAATATTAACGGTCTTTTCATTGATTTTAAATAGTTGTTGACATTTAATAAGTATTAAAGATTGAGAATTTCTAAAAATTTTAGTTATCTTAAAGCACCACAGACATCATTTAAACCATACGGTTCAAACAATTTTACCAACCTGAAATGATATTTTTTCAGAATACTGAAGGTCTGTTTGTACTATCAAGAGATGCCACAGGGCAGTATAGAGGCCCTCAAACCAAGGTTACGTATAGTGTATTTTCAGAGGGCTCCTTATTCTATTATTAAGAATTATTACCTTACTTTTTGTAAATAGTTCTATCCGGAAGTAAATATTAATATATCTCTAAATGTATTTAGTAATCTGTGAAGTTTTGTAAGTTATTTAATTTTTGTTGAAAGTTACTTTTTATTTCCTGATTTAGCTTACACGTCCGGCCAGAAACGTTTTCAGGAATCGCGCTTGAATGCAAATAAGGGGAAGAAGCATTTAACTGAAGTCTACTGACCTCGTTTAGAGAGCCAGAGATTTGAACTAGCGCGCGTTCGCCTTTTAGGTACTCTCTCTCTTAAGCTATTTTACGGCCGTCTTTAGACCTTGATAGCGGCGCCGTTAGGTAACGTTAAGGGGCCAACGTGAGATCGATAGCTTCGGTATCTTTTTAGTTAAGAGGAGTCAAGTTTACTTCTTGTTCCTGAAGCAAGCCCGAGTGGAGGTTTAGGCTAATCCAAGCAGGATCGGTTAAACTTATTTGGAATAATAAAGGGTAATTAACTTTTCGAGGGGCGTCTCGTCTATTAACTAAATGTTGCAATGTTAAGAGGTATCTAATGAATAACAGCTACGCCTGGATTGACGGTCTCTCACTGATTGAAAACGAACCAAGAAAGTATGTTTTTATTCTACAATTGTTCTGACAAACCTTTTAGTCCATGTCCATCAATTTAGATGGCCCCGAAAATTTTCACGTGTTCGTCATACCAGGGGGCCCCCTCTTTGTAAACGGCGCAAGCCAGAACAACTTTGGAAGGGGCCCAGACGTTTCGCCCCCCCCCCTTGTTGTGTTGGTCTGTGTGGGTTTCGTGCGGTTGGTGCTGACAAAGAAGGGGAGTGAGTCAACTTTTATAAAACGAGTGTCCTCCGTGTACATGTTCGCTCCCATATGTAAAACAGAGCGAGCATAAGCATCTTAACACTAAAAACACAGACATAAAGCAACAAGGTAATTATGGGCTCGGCTGAAATTGCACATCCTGGGTAGGGCAAGCAGAGGCACGCCCCTTATATATAACCGTAAACCACCCTGATTAAGTGCAACACGGGTCTAACCAAGCCCGAAAACTAATGCGAGGACAAACTCAGAAGATGACAAGCCAGGTCCACCTCTTCTAAAAACACGTCAGTTGATTCATATGGTGGAAGAACAATGATAATCCGGGCACCTTCATCGACCCTTCCGATAAGGTGTATAGCCGTGGGGAAGAAAGCCTCACCTTGGATGTGCTCTGGTGAGGAAGATATGAATATGTCGTAGACTCATTTCTTTTTCAGGTTAGTGCCATCCAATCTGTGCATTGAATTCTCTGCATTATAATATGTATTGAAGTAATAGTGGGGGCCTCATTAATAATTTGAGGAAGATGGGGACTACAAATTTCTTGTACGCAGTGGTCTGGGAAAGAATGTTTACATAAAATGTTCTCGACCAGCGATTCTGACGGGAAAATCGTAGCAGGAACTTACAGAGGTGGAGAAGTTCAATAAAATTTAATCCAATCTGTATCTTCACATTTTTAATAAGATTTGTATCATACGTAAATTGATTATCTCCATTTATAGTTTTATGGTGAGTTATTTATATTCGTTTATAATGGAAATGAAAATAATATTCTCGAACTTCAAAGCACTAAAATTAACTTTTAATTAACTTTTGATTCCCTATTCCTTTATACAGCAGAACAACACTCAGTCTATTAAAATGGGATTCGACCTGTTCGTAAAACTGAAATGATGCATTGCAGTCCCCCCCCTTTTGTTTTTCAGATACATCATCATATAAAGTAAATTTATTGAATAATTATAACATGTCTATTATTAAAGGAAAATAAAACGCCGAATAACCATTAATTTAGAGTTCAAACAACATCATAAAAAAAGAGAGAGAGACTTAAACACAGCTACTGGCGCAATCTATTGATGAAAAATTAAAACAGCTGTAATATCATTTCTTTAAAAGCTGAGGTTAAATTCGCCCTTAGCTGTTAATGAAATTACTTTTTTTGTTGTTTTCATGTTTTGTCAATAGATGGCGGCGGTAGCTCTGTTTCCTTTTTTCTTATGAAATTTTCTCGGATTTTGTAGTCTATGACTTTCACTGATATCGAGTAAGTACACCCTTGTTTTACATCATTCTTACTCATGCAGCTGAAGAAATAGATTCTGTAGTTAAACTTCCCAAATTAGTTCCTCAAATTTATTAAAATTACCACTTATTCCTATATTTTGAACAACATATTAATTATACACCTTATCAGTAAATGGATTACTTTTTGCACAATTAAAATGTAACTATGGGAAATAGAGAATTATCTTTTGATTTTTTTACTTCTTAAATTCCTAATTTATTTTTCCTTTAAAAAACCTCGAATAGATTATAACGAGAAAACACTTTTAAAGCATATTTGAGCAGCTGCTGTAAGAAACCCTCTCTTTCCACTCCACAAAAACAACGTTTAAATTAAATTTCCTATGATCTAAAATAGTCTGATTCTCGTTATATTTGAAATCAACACTGTTCATGCTACCTGGAAATATGTTACTTTACTTTATTACCTTATTATATGTTACTTTATTATGTTACATATTTTCATATTTAGTTATGCATTTGAACTTTTATTACTCTATGATCAGAAATTTAATGTTTTAGAAGCATTTATCTTTTTGGGCAAAGTTTTGCTACTGAATCTAACTGTAATTTCTGTTAACAGAATATTTACCATTGAAAGTTGGTAATGTGTTTAACAGTGTTTAAGAGGTAAATAATTCTTTTATGTATATGAAAGTTATTTGAATGCCAATTGGCAAAAACGTTTCCGGAAATTTAAATTTTTTAATTCACTAATTCTTCTCAATAAATTATATAAGGAGTTTCGCTGTGGAAATAACTACAAAAATATTATTTTTTAGGTTCTGATGGTAATGCGCAGATGGCAGCACCTGATAACACCGGACACATCGATTCTAATAACTCTGACAGATGGCGACACCAAGCAACTAGCGGACACAAACCATTACGATGACAATGTGTAACATCTCATAAGGAAACTTCACTCTGTACATTGCCATTACGAGAAACTTTCATCTAAATGTTCAAAATGTTTGCTCACGTTACGCCCTGCCAAAGTTGATTTCTACGCTAGGAAATGTTATTTATCATGTATATCTGTTGACATAAATTTATTTCAAATCGGACGTTCTTCCACTTTCTTTTCGGAAACATAGCACCACCAGATATTACAGTAGTCTGAGAAAAACTTATTTAGGCTAACGTTTATGCTAATTATTATTTAAAATATTTAAGAAAGCTTAAGTACTTTTTCCTCAAATATTAAATTACTTTTCTGTTTGGGGGGAGAACACTGTTTTTGGATCACTTGATTTAAAATATTAAACGTGTGCTCATCAAAAATGTTAAATGCATTTACTCATCCTCATTTCCTGGTAGCTTTTCAGCAGCTATTTGTATTTATTGCTAAGACAAAGAAATTCAAATTTCAAAACAAGAAATGTTGCAAATTTGATAATATTAAGTGGAGGAGGATTCTTTAATATTGAGGTAACCAAACACAAAATGTTGTTAAACAAAGACAGAGAAGGAATATCACATAAAGTGTATTTTATGCCAAGGTTCATCAATATATGGCTAGAGAAATATATCTTATTAATAAGATGATGGTACAGAGCTTCAAAAATAAATATGTTACATCGAATGGCAACATTCGCGGTTTCAATTATCCGCGATTTGCGACACGTGGAAAAAGGTCCTTAGAAGTTTCAAAATATTGCGACAGTTGATAAACAGCGTATGGCTAGATGTAAAATACAGGTAGATTCAAGCTAAGTACTAACTTCCTATGGTAATAACGACAATATGCAAGGTTCATCATGGAAGTAGAAATAAGAGCTAAAGTGCTCGTTCTTCAAATTCTCGTAGTTGAAATTGAAAAAAAAAAGGCTGATAATCGAATTCGGTTAACGTTACTCATCTTTTAGCTTTGAGAGTGTCTAAATCCGGTTTCAGTTCCTTAAGTATTTGCTTGAAAATTAAAACTCTCTGAAAAATAGTACAGTACACAATATGCGGAGAAATCTTAGCTCATGGAATACGTGCATTTATATAGCTGAAATAGTAATGTTTCTACGGCAAACCATATTAAACTGTGGTATACCTAAGTCATAAGCTAATTTGAAGGTCGAATATACACAAAATATAATTGATCTTTTACCTGAATAAGTTATTTTAGATTTATGCAAATAGTTACTCATCGATAATATACTTACGCAAAACTCATATTTACAAAGAATTGTTTTTGTGCTAAAATAGCACAAATAATGCGTCTGATGACGGTCATAAAATAATTCTTTAAAAATATCTGATGTGGACATCACATGACTTCTTTGTACGGCCTATTAAATATGCAAATTTGTTCGCTGCATTTCATTTAAACTTATTTCTTCGAATTATTCTAAATTAACCGAACTCAAGGCAAGATAAAAATGATATCAAAAATCCCGGTAATTTTTTTGTCGAAAGGGAATCAAACTTCATATAATTTTATTTTTTCACAACGAGTGTAAAACTTTTCCAAAGACCGTAATTAAAAGTTAGATTTCGTTATTTGTTCCATTTTTTTTTTAATTTGACATTACCAAAAACGAATTATTTTCGTTATTTAAAACATTTCTGTAGCTGGAAGTGTATGACTACGACTAACGATTGCGAAAATAAAGACCGGGTAAGATCCTTGGCTATACCTATCTATACCTTTGGTACTGCCGATATAGCAATTCAAAATATAAAATTTTAACGTTCTACGACTAAACACTTTTTAGTTATACGAGATACATACGTACGTGCGTATGTTAAGGCATCACGAAAAAAATCCCTTTTAAATCTATTTTAAACTCATTTTGCATATCGTTTTCAAAAAAGCTGTCTTTTATTCAGCCCAAAAATACAGACGACACACAAAAAAATTCATCCAAATGGGGATTCGTAAAGGGGGTC